ATTCATCTCCTTTGTGCAGCAATTTGCTCTGAGGTATATAAAAAAGACTCTAATTGGTAAATATCAAATTAGAAATGGAAACTTTCTTTTTATTTTTTAGTGGGTCTTGGTGAGGAAGCATATATAAACTTGTTAATGACTTCATCATAGTTATGGGGAGCAAAATAATGGCTCCCCAATGATGCCCCTGTCCTAACAGAACCTGTGGGTATATTATACCTTACAAGGCACAGCATTAGTAGATGTAATAGCTAAGGATTCTGAGGTAGCGAGGCTGTTCTTGTTTACCTGAAGGGTCCTTAGAAGTGAGAGAGAAGCAGCAGGAGACTGAGAATCAGAATGACACAATGTGAGAAAGGCTCTGTCCCGGCTGGTTTTGATGATGGGAGGGATGAGAGGAAGCCAGGACAAGGCAAGAAACTGAATTCTCCTCTAGACACTCCACAAAGGGAAGCAGCCCTGCATACAACCTTGACTCTAGCCTAGGGAGAACCCTTCTGGCCTGCTGGACTGTAAAATAATAAATCTGTGTGGTTTAAACCACTAGTATTGTGGCAATTTGTTAAGAAAGCTACAGGAAGCTAATACACAGCTTTATCTGCCAAGGTCCCCATATTTAAAATCTAGTTTCCGGAAATCGTAAGAATCTGTCAATTAAAATAAGACTGTAACTAAAATCTCATTAATTTAGAATACAGTGGGGAAGGATAAGTAGACTCATTAGTATTTATATCTTAGTACTCAGCATCAAGCTATTTAAGACAAAGAGCAACTCCTACCATTAATAAATGGGAAGTCTAAATAATGGAACCTTTAGTGTCAAGTAGGTTAATGTGCTGGACTGCAAAGTCAGTTTGAACCACAAAGTCAGTGGTTCAAGCTCACCAACTGCTCTTTGGAAACCTTATACAGGAGTTGCTGTGGGTTGGAACCGACTTGAAAGCACTCAAAAACAACAACAGTTTCAAGTACCATATATATTAAAAAACTAAGACATAAAAATATCAATAAGAAAAATCCACCTAATTGAAATGATACCTTATAGTAATCTATTATTGCTGTTGTTGCTAAGAGCTGTTGAGTCAGGCTGGTGAGTTTGAACTGCTAAGCTTGCAGTTCAAACTGACCTTGTGGTCCCAGTGCTTATCCTAAAGCTCCAGCCCAGGACTCCAATACATTGTACGTTTTATAAGTAAACTTAAAAATATCATATCTGGTTTTTTGTTTTAGACATATCAAATTCCAAAAGCTTTATTGTAAAAATGGTTCCTTATTGAATTTAATTTGGAAAGAAAAGGGCCCTAAACACTGACAAAAGAGCTGACAAACCAAAGACTAAGTCAAGCATGAAAGCAACTAATTAGAATCAGGAAAACTCACTTATTCAATTCCTGGAGAAAATGTGGTCCTGCAGATAGCACTTAGGGTATGAATGGACAAAATCTTGCTCCACTTATTAGATGGAAGATTTTCAACAAATTACGTAATATCTCTGAGCCTCCATTTTTCATTAGTAAGATGCAAGTGACCCTCAGCTACCTAGAAGGTGGCTATACAAGAGGTGTGTGTACACAAGTACGTAAGTGCTTGCACAGGTAGGGAGTGGAGCTTCAGGCATTCTTTTTTCTCTGAAATAACGCAACCATGTAAATAACCCACCCACACAGATAACATACGGGAACACTGAAATTAAGTTCTGGCATAGCGCACTCTTGCATAAACCACACATGACAGCTCCAAGTGAGTTTCAGCCTCATTCACCCTCTTCCCAGATGACAGGTAAATTGTATGGTTCTGTTCATTTTCTATCTGTTCATTTCCTTTAATCTCCTGCCTAGGTGTCTAAACATAGTTCAAAAATGTTACTTTTGATCATAATGATATAAACCATGGTCATGAATATAGTTTGGCGGTCTGCCTCCCGCCCCTCCTACCCGGGTAATCAGAAAGCAAACAATCTAAACTGTTTCCATTAAGTTGGTAATTATAGCATATTAGCTCAACTGTTGAATGTGAAAACCTTATGAGATTGTCTTGAGTGAAATCATTAGGCTATGTTGTTGTTAAGTGCCATCTAGTCAGTTCTGGCGGACTCCTGGTGTGATGCTGTAGGATGAGCACTGGACTGGGAACCACAAGTTCGACATTTCAAACCCAACAGCTACACAGGGCTGCTATGAGTCAGAACTGACTCGGTGGCCCTTAACAACAGTCAGTTCTGACTTGCAGTGACCCTGTGAGAGGGATTCTGAGGAGCAGCTGGTGGGTTTGAAACGCCCACCTTGAGTTCAAACTAACCTAGCGGTCCAATGCTTTATCCTACAGCACCATACCAAGAGTCCTAGGTTCTGTTGTTATTGTTGCTAATTACCATCGAGTGGGTTCCAAATCATAGCAATCCTGAATAGGTTTCCAAGAAGCTACTGGTGAGTTTGAACTGCCAACCTTGCAGTTCAACCAACCTGTGGTCCAGTACATTGACCTGCAGCATCACACCAGGACTCCTAGGTTACATTCATCTTGTTGTTGTGCCGTTGTGTCAGTTCCGACCTACAGCGACCCTGCGTAGGGTTTCCGAGAAGCAGCTGGTGAGCTTGAACCACCAACTTTGCGTTCAAACAGCTTTGCAGTCTGACTGCGTTAGCCCACAATTCTACACCAGAACTCTTATTTCTTAGCTTAATTTTGTCTTTATGCTGTCAACTTTAGTCAAAAAACATTTAAATTAAAAAAAAACTGGCACAGCGTGCTTATGAAGATAATGAAGGCCATGGGGAAGGGCTACATGTTGGCACATTCTATCTGTGAAAAATATGGCATAATGCGTATCAGCTTTCCTCCCTCCGCCATCTCACTCTGCTTCCTTCAATGTATTTTAGCTACAAATAAACACTTGGCAAAGCATTAAGGAGAACAAAGGTAAAGGTAAGAAAAACACAATGAACAAACATGCATTTCCTTTATCAAAGTAAGTGTTTTGGACCAAGCTTACCCAAAGCATTACATTTGGATTTAGGTTTCTTCTCTTTCTTTTCTACTGGGGCTTTTACCTTCACTTCTTTCCTTTTAATTTCTTTAACTTTATTTTTTCTCACAGTGAATTCTTCATCATTTTCTTCACTTTCACCAAAATCAGAATCACCCTCAGAATCTTTACCTGAAACAGATCACATAGCATTTTCTTGATTTTCATTTTTCTTTAAACTTTTGGCATCTATTTTTCTCCCTTTTAACAAATCATTTCCACATACATGAAGGAAATACCATTCAAAACAATATCCCGTTTCTTTACTTTTAAAGCAAAACTCCTCAAAAAGTTGTCTTGCGCTCACTGTTACCAGTCCCCCACCCTCCATTCTCTCAAACCAAGTTCAGCACGGTTTGACTTTCATCAACCTCACCACTGACCTTGCCAAATACATTGGTCAATTTGGTTCATTTCTTTTAGACCTAACAATTCATTTAATCACAGATTCATCTCTGAAATCGTTTTTCCATCTGGCCTTTCAATACCCTTTCTCTCTTGGTTTTTCTGTATTTTGGCCACTTCTTTTCAATTTCTTTTGCTGAATGTTTCTGACCACAAGTCCTTTGCTAATCTTTCTGACCTATAAATGTTGGAGTGTTCCAGAACTTAGTGTACAGATCTCTTCTACCTACAGCTATTCCCTAATCGATTTCATTCCATCTCATTTCTAAATACCATTAACATGGTGATGCTCCCAAATTTATCTTCTAGTCTGGATTTCTCTTCTAAACTTGTTTATTCAACTATTTACTTAACATCTTCACTTGGATGATAGGGGTGTCTCTAACATGTCCCAAACCCGTTTCTTGACTCTAGTCACCACCAACCCTTCACTCAGCAAACTTGCTGCTCCACTAAGTTTTTTCCAACTTACTAAATGGAGACTTCCAGTCACTCAGATAAAGAAATCATTCTTGATTGCTTTTCTCTGTTGCATATATTTGATCTCATCAACAATTCTATTGGCTATTCCCTCAAACAAGAAGCCCTGGGTATGTAAGTCATTAAATGTTTGACTGCTAACTGAAAGGCATTCAAATATATGTTGAATAAATTCTAGTGAATAAATTTGTTATTGTTTGCCTATTGCATGCTAAAATCAAGTAAAACAGAGCATCTAATTAAGCATAAATTTTATGTGTTTACTCACTTTACTCTACTAATATATCTTGTTACTCTCAGCCCAGGTCACTATGATTTCTAGTTGCCCTGATTTCTGAATGAGTCTGAAAACCACTGAAATAATAAAATACAGGTTATCATATTATTTCAACCTCAAAATCTTTCATGAATTCAAAAGTCTGATAGCGTAGTGGTTACGAATCAGGCTGCTAATCTCACGGTCAGCAGTTCGAAACTACCAGCGGTTCCTCAGGAGAAAGATGAGGCTTTCTGCTCCCGTAAAGATTTACAGCCTCGGAAACCCTGTACAGGGTCGCTATGAGTCTGAAACAACTCCACGGCACATAACAACAACAACAATTCAAAAGTCTATATTCTTAAAATGGGTGTGAGACCCTCTGTGATTTCGTGCCAGCCTGCTTCTTCAGCCCTTTCTACAACATTCTTCCCTGCAACCTTGTATGGACAGTTGCCTATCCCACTCTCTATGCCTTTCCATCAGCCAGGAATGCCATTTACTACTATAGCGTTTCAAAATGCTACTCAGTTTTCAAGGCAAAGCTTAAAGGTTATCTTACAGACAAAGCTTTTTCCCTAAATGCCATGGCTGACTTTTGCTGTTCTCAAGTTTGCACATCCCAAATGTTCGGGGTAATGCTTTATTTATGTCTGTGACCATCAAGAACGTTTTCCTGAATTTTGATCTCTGGTAGCATAGTGGTTATTATGAGTTGGGCTGCTAATCTCATGGTCAGCAGTTTGAAAGTACCAGGTGTTCCATGGGAGAAAGACAAGGCTTTCTGCTCCCGTAGAAATTTGCGATTCGGAACTGACTCCACGGCACACCACCACCACCAATTTTGCAGTAAAAGCTAACTTACTACTTTCTGGTTCGGAGTTACTGACACTGTCGCCGTCACTGCCTTCCAAAAAACCCCTTTGTCGTACCACAGCTTTAGACGCTGCTTTTCTTTTCCTTTGAACATCAGGAAAGTCTTCTTCCTCAGTAATCTTGTCCAAATCTTCAGGAGAGGCATGAAGAGACATCAAAACTGTTCTGTGACATGAGGTACTTCAAGAATTGAACATACATCAATTGTTTTCATTTTCCCAGCTCCATTCCTCCTCTGCTTCTAGTAATAAGTCTAATTACCAATCATGTGACCCAATCTGGATCAATATTAGAATTTCACTCCCCAGCAACAGAATCCGATTTAGTAACAAATCAAACTGAGCTAGGCATCCCCCAAGAATGTTCAAGCTGGAGTTGGGAAAAAAGTGGCCCATTTCTTTAGTGACAAACTGCTGTAGACTAGAAGCCATGGGTAGTTGTGACTTCACACAGGGAATAAAATGGGGCTGCATTAACAGAAAAACAAAAAGATAAAATGAAAGGACACAAAAGCCAAGAGTTCAAATTTAAAGACCCTGGTTCTAGCTACAATTTCAGGAATTAAAAGAAAAGTCTGAAAAATAGGGCTGTTGGGGGGAGAGGGGAGGAGAGAAGAGTATGTATTATTAATATAAAAAACTTACCTAAATAATCACCGGCTACACTACAATTAGAGATGTGAGGAGACTTAGTCATTGCTTCTATTTCATTATTGTCACATTTTTCAATGCCTACATATAAGAAATAAGAAAGAAAATTCAGAAGCACCGTAATCAATGTCTAGAAATAGGAAAAAATGAGTGCTCAAATCTAATAGCATATCTAAAACCTTCTGCTGTTGGGTTGATCCTGTCTCATAGCAACCCTACAGGACAGCGCCATAAGGTTTCTGGGGCTATCCATCTTTATGCAACACAGACGGCCTCAAATGTCCCCCAGGGAGCTGCTGGTGGGCTCAGACCACCCTGACACTTAACCAACTGCACCACCAGGGCTGCTAATGATATATGATTTAAACTCAAGCTGCACAGTGATTTTACTTGAAGAAATCAGTTGAAATTATGCTCTGAAATCAGACTTAATTTCAAATGCAGGCACACTTAAACTGGCTGTTTAAGGACAAGTACTTTATCATCTCAAATACTTAATTTCCTCACCTATTATGTGAAGATAAAAAATATTCCAAGGCTACTATAGGAGATAAAACAAGTTCACCCAAGGAAATTACTTATCATAGGGCCAGCTCTGGTAGCGTAGTGGTTACGAATCGGGTTGCTAACCTCAAGGCCGGCAGTTCGAAACTACCAGCCATTCTGCGGGAAAAAGATGAGGCTTTCTGCTCCCGAAAGATTTACAGCCTCAGAAACCCTGTGCAGGGTCGCTATGCATCAGAATCAACTCCACGGTATTTAACACTATGAGTCGGAATCGACTCCACATTATTGCTGTTAAATACCGTGGAGTCGATTCCAACCCATAGTGACCCTGCACAGGGTTTTGAGGCTGTAAATTCAATAAATATCCTGCACAGGGTTTTGAGACTGTAAATTCAATAAATATTAGCTATGATCACTGGGTAGGCAAATCTATGCTTCTGCTAGCATAAGCACTCCAATCATTACATGATTATTCTTGAAACAATCTACAGCATTTGAAGAGGCCTTCAAGTCATGATAATTAGTATTATTAAGTTCTAATGCTATAAACGGAGTCTTGGTGTGGCGCAGTGGGTTAATGCATCAGACTGCAAAGTCATTTGAACTGCAAGGTCAGTGGTTCAAGCTCACCAGTTGCTTCTTGGAAACCCCAAAGAAGGTCGCTATGGGTCGGAATCAACTCGATGGCACTTAACAACAATACTATAAAGTGCATTATTCTTTGAGAAGTGGTTCTTCCAAGAAAATTCTGTGATACATTCTATACTCTTTTATGTTGTTGCTGTTAAGTGGTGCTGAATCAGTACTATATAGGGTTTCTGAGGAGCAGCTGGTAAGTTTAAATACCAACCTTGTGGTTCAAACCAACCTTGCAGTCCAATGCTTATTCTATAACGCTACACCAGGACTCCAGTTAAATAACATAGTAAGAAAAAATATCGCCTCACTTAAAAGAATTTAAGCCAAAACAATTCAATCCAAGCAACATTTTAGCAGTTCACATGCCTTTTCTAGGAATTACTTTGGCCTCTCCAGAACGTCAATACTGCCATCTGCTGCACAGTCATCACACACACACACACAAAAAAAAAAAAAAACCAAAGGAAGAAAACCTATGGAGAAATCCAGAAATTACCAATCTCTTAAATCTACTGAGATTACTAATGAAATTAGTATCTTTAACCTTCAAAAATAAAAATTACCATCATTAGTTCATCTGATTTGGAAAGAAGTGATTTGGATTGTGCAGACCAATTCATTTGATAGATAAAATATATTTTCACAGTGTACCAAAATACAATTTGAATACCCAGACTCATAGTTAACATCCTCAAGTTTACTTTGGGTGTTTACCACAATGTGTGTGGATGTGATTTATGTAGCTGAGTAAACATTTGAGTCCATCTGTGGTGGTGGTGGTGGTGTGCCATGGAGTCAGTTCCGACTCATAGCGACCCTGTATAGGGTTTCTGAGGCTGTAAATCTTTACGGGAGCAGAAAGCCTCGTCTTTCTCCTACAGAACGGCTTATAGTTTCGAACTGCCGACATTGAGGTTAGCAGCCCAACTCATAACCATTATGCTACCAGAATGCCTTGGAGTCCAATTGTTGTTGTTAAGTGCCGTCAAGTCAATTCCAACCCATAGAGACCCTGTAGAGGGTTTCTAAAGAGCAGCTGGTGAGCTTGAACCACCGACCTTGCAGTTCAAACGACTTTGCAGTCTGACTAGCCCACAGCACCACACCAGGACTCCACCTGTATCCTCTGCTAAGTACGCTATTAATAGTCCAAAGGATTTCATTTTCTTTCCTCTGTGACGGCCCATTCAAAGAAATGGTTATACAGAAAATAAAGTTACTTTCATCTTGCAATTCTGGCACATCAATGGTGACTGTTGGAGTCTCCTTCACTGATAAAGCTAGTGCAACTTCTAAGTCTCTGTGGTAGAGCTTGTCATCCAAAGGTATCCTATAATAGAAACAAATAATAAGGGTTTTAAAATATCAATCTCCACTGAAGAGCAAAGCTTCAGCTTCTCCTGAATTACTATTTAGGAGTTGCTCTGACGTCATAGAAGCATTTTAAAAGTATAACCATCACCATCTTTGATAGACGGATTCCTAAAGTATGTATTCAACATAAGAGATCTGAAACAGGAGCATTATGTGCCTTTGCACCTGCTATTCTCTTCCACGGTCATGTCTCTCCTTACTACCTGCTCTGTCCAGCTGGAATCTTCCCTCACCGCTCCCCTTTAGACAGCTATTGGAACCAAATCCAAACCCAGCTGCTGTCAAGTCAATTCCAACTCATAGCGACCTGAATCTATATATTCCACAGTACAACTGCTCTAAAGAATTTTCCTGGCTGCTATCTGTATAAAGCAGATTGCCAGGCAGTTCTTCTACACTTCAGGGTAGATTCAAACTACTACCTTTAGGTTAGTAGCTGAGTGCAAACTGTACCACCCAGAACCATATTAAATTGAAATATTTATGTTCTCACATCTGTTGCTAGGCTAATAGTGCCCTCAAGGAGTCTATAATTGAACAAACTGTTGTTAAGTGCCATTGAGGTGGTATAGACTCACAGTAACCCTGTGTAGGGTTCCAAGGCTATAAATCTTTGCAGGAGCAGAAATCCTCATCTTTCTCCAGCAGAGCAGAAGATGGGCTTGAACCCAACCATGTGGTTAGCAGTCCAGTGCTTATCATACAGAGCCACTGCACTCCAAATTTAACAAGAAGGGTGGGGAAAAATGATACTGTTAACCCATGTAAGGCAGTTTAGTAAATCCTGTCAAGGTCGTCTAAAATGCTATGGCATTTAAGAGGGGAGAAAAATCAAAGACAGGAAATAGGAAAGGTTACATGAAGGAGAAAGCACTGAGAAGCACTTTGAAGGGTTTATTGATTATTTTGGACATTTCATACCAATGGAATCATACAATATATAGCCTTTGGCTTCTAGCTTTTTTCTCTTAAGCATGCTGTTTTCAAGATTCATCCATACAACAGTATGAATCAGTACTTCATTCCTTTTTATGACGGACTAATAGTCCATTGATTACAAAACATATCACTTTGTAAATCTGATTGTCATAGTATTTAAATTGGCATTCCCTTAAATATTTGTGAATTTTTTTTCCAAGTCAGAGAGACAATCAGAAGGAGCTTACTTGTACATTCCCATTCTACATTCAGGAGTCGAGGCATGGCGCTGTGGGTTAATGCGCCAGGCTACAAAGCCATTTGAACTGCAAGCTCACCAGGTGTTCCTAGGAAACCCTATACAGGGTCACTATGGATTGGAACCGACTCTACAGCACTTCACAATAACAAACATTCAACATTCAGGAGTCCTAGTGCGGTACTGTGAGTTAATGGACTGGACTTCCAAGTTTTTGTTTGAACTGCACGGTTGGCAGTTCAAGTTTACCACTTCCTCCTAGGAAACACCATACTGGGTCGCTATGGGTCGGAACTGACTTGATGGCACTTAACAAGAATTCTACATTCAAGAAATAAAATAAAACTCTTAGGATTCCTATTTAAACCAAAAATTCAAATCTGCTGCTGGTGGTGGTGAAGGAGCTCTGGTAGCATAGTGGTTACGAATCAGGCTGTGAACCTTAAGGTCAGTGGTTCGAAACTACCAGCCACTCTGCGGGAGAAAGATGAGGCTTTCTACTCCCGCAAAGATTTACACCCTCGGAAACTCTGTACAGGGTCGCTATGGGTCGGAACCGACTCGACGGCACTTAACACACACATACACACACACACACACCGCTGGTGGTGGTGGTTGTGTGCTGTGGAGTCGGTTCTGACTCATAGAGACCCTGTACAGGGTTTCCAAGGCTATAAATCTTTAGAAAGCCTCATCTTTCTCCCAGGGAACAGCTGGTAGTTTCGAACTGTTGACCTTGAGGTTAGTAGCCCAACTTGTAAGCACTGTGCTACCAGAGCTCCTTTCAAATCTGTTATCTGTTTTAAATTGATAGCTCTGGTAGCACAGTGGTTACAAATTGGGCTGCTAACCTCAGGGTCAGCAGTTCGAAACTACCAGCTGTTCCGCGGGAGAAAGATAAGGTTTTCTGCTCCCGTAAAGATTTACAACCTCGGAAACCCAGTACAGGGTCGCTATGAGTCAGAACCGACTCCATGGCACATAACAACAACAAATGTTGTGCATTCTGTGTACGTCTTACCTCTCACCTTTTTTTAGGGGTTCTCTCTTGTAGTGGTATATTCTCTTTCTGGAGATTCTTCAATTTAGGTTTTGATTTTTCTTGTTTTAACTCCTTTGACTCTGTCCTGGATTTCTTGTTTAAAGGTGTAGATGAAGAAACAAAATCATCTATTTATATATAATTAAAAATAACAACACATGAAATTTGCTTTTTCTGAATAAAAAGAAAGAAAATTATTTCTTTAGCAGTTGAAATCATTGCTAAAGTTTTAATAGATAAGAACAAAAAATTAAATTTCCCCAGTTTTAAAACCGTTAGTATTTTGTCTTTTCTTATTCTCATTCACGTTTCAACATCTTTTTTTTTTTTTTAAACGGTCTTTATCTTTTAAAACATCAATCTACCCAACATGAAATCAATAAAAGCTACAAGGCAATTAAGCTAGTATTTAAATGTTAAAGAAAAATGAGTAATCATTAAAAATCTGTAAAATTAAATAAGTTAAAAAAGTATACTTGGGAATTTTAATATATTGGAAATTGGTATGAAAGGATTTTTATAAAAACCCAGTGTCTTCAATAGTGAATAATTGTTATCAGGACTGACTGTGAGGGTTGGAAATATAAAGGTAGACGTTTTGTAGCAAGGAGGGGAGTGATCAACTTTTCAGTCTAGGAGCGGAGGTCCCTGGGACCATCATGGGAGAAGAGCGGAGAGGGGGACCCTACCCAGAGAAGCAGTAATGCCTGAGATGGAGGCAGAGACGATGACGTGGAGAGATGGAGCAGCTGGGGACTTTAGACCCAGAGAGGGAGAGGGGCTGTGTGCTAACAACCGGGTGTGTGTGTGTGTGTGTGTGTGTGTGTGTGTGCAGGCTTGTAGTGTATACCCTTTGGTTCGTTGATGATGCATGGAGGGGATTGTAACCATGGCAATGAAATGATATACGACAGGATGAATGTAAAACTAATGTTCTCCCATGTAAACTATCACATAATTCACAATAAAACATAAAAAAAACTAAAAAAAACCCTAGTATCTTGTCTTCTTTCAAGGACCCGCTACCAGTACTCAGAACTGATGTAGCACTGCTGTTAATCACCACAACATAAAACTGCTGCTTTGTCTTTTCAACAAATGCATGATACACGTATGTGCACCTTCACATCGTCTTAACCATGTCACTTCTCATTGTTGTAAGCTGTTGTTGAGCAGATCCCCAGCTCATAGTGATCCCTGTCCAGCCCTACAGCACCCTCACATCAGTTACAGGTGGGAGAGCTGTGACCAAGTAAAATGTGATAAAACCATTGCCTGATTTCCTAGATTGCCAGGACTTTCTAGTCCATCTGAGCTTGGAAGCTCCAATGAAAACTGTTCAGCATCATTTTTTGTTGTTTGTTCAGTGCTGTTGAGTTTGTTCTAACTCATAGTAGCCCTGTGTGTGGTTTCTGAGGAGCAGTTGGTGGGTTTGAACCACTGACCTGGCAGTTTAAACTGATCTTGCGATCCAGTGCTTTATCCTAGAGCACTACACCAGGACTCCAGCATCATAGCATCGTGTATGCCGCTGCTGGTGAGGGATGGCTACACATGAAGAACATTGGTAGGAATCAAATCAGGTCTTGTGCATGGAAGGAAAGGACTCTCCCACCCATGCTGTCTCTCTTCTGCTCTCCATGTGGGAATACAGGAAGTTTTGTGATCCGCTTTCTCCCTTCACAATATCCAAAATATAACTGGCAACTCATAAATATTTGGTAACAGTAATAAAAAAAGTAAGTTACATTCTCTAATATGTTCTCCCAAGTATTAGACACACTTAAGGTTATGACCAAGGCCAAATAAATTTCTTCAAAACCTAGGAATTACTAAATGTTTGACTTACAGAAACTCTAGTGGTCTGAGAAAGAAAAAAAACAAAAACACTATTTTGAATTATAACATAATTTAACACAATGTTCTAAAACTTTTTGACTAAGTTCTCTTAAGAGCAGAGATAAGTGAAAATGTAACCCAGTATGGCATAACTTCAGCCTAACCTCTCTTCAAGGTCATGTTTTATTTGACAGTGAATAGGAATTTTACATCGTATTCAGTAACACATTTATGTTTCAGAAAGACAGTGCTTACCTTCTTGAGGTAAGAGTTAGGAAACAAACTGTAATCTGAGAAACACGCATCTAGAGCAGGTTACATCTAAAGCATACTTTCATCTGGTTTTGTTCAGTTATCACCAACCTATGTAATTCTTGTCAGCGTGGTATCAACACCATCTTGTTAAGAGATGTTCAGTCAGTTCTGACTCATAGCAACCCTGTATAGGGTTTCTGAGGAGCGGCTGGTGGGTTTGAACTGCTGTGGTTAGCAGTCCAAAGCTTTTCCTACAGCGCCCCACCAGGACTCTATAAAACCCTATGGAGCAGTTCTCCTCTGCACGCACAGGGCTGCCATGAGTCCGAATTGACTCGACAGCAAACACCACCACCACCACCACATCAATTCTGAGTAAACGACTTCCCACATCTTTAAAGCATGATGATTCCACTCACCATCACTGTCAGAGTCTTCAAACTGGGAGTAATTGACTGGTTTCTTATGCCTATGACCAAGACACAAAGGTTTCATTTACACAAATGTCAACCTCTCACCCACCTTCCTTAAAGCCATTAATAGTAGTTTTGAGTAACTGAAAATGTGTTTCAGTTTTCTTAAAGTATACTTAAATTTAAAACAAGATATGCATTTCATAGTAAGGCTTTAGCATTAGCTGAAGTATTTACAACCACACTTCCTGGAAAACGTACAGATAGAACCAAAATCCATGAGTTTTAACACCATCTTTTCCACTTTAACTTTAGATAGGATGTGTACAAAACATGAGGGGAATAAGCTCCTAGGAAAATGTTAGAGTGAAGGTGGACAGCAAAGACAGCAAAACTGATATGGAAAAGAAAAGTAATTCAGATAGCCCACAAAGAGCAATTCATGTGATTAAAACTTAGCATTTACATACTGTGTAATTGCTATTGGGTATTTTTACGTCTCTGTTGTATGTATTCTTTTGTCTTCTATAAGTACTCGGTCTGATACATGATTTGTTGCTCAATGAGATATTGGACTCCTGGAGTGGCACTGTTGGGTAAGCACTGGACTACAAACCACAAGGTCAGGGCTTTAAACCCACCATTTGCTCCTCAAAAACCCTATACAGAGTCTCTATGAATTGGAATCTACTCAACGGCACTTATCAACAATAAAGAAGATATTAGTTTACTTAGTCATGCAGATCTTCTAAACACTTAAACACATCACTTGTTGTTGTTGTGTGCTGTTGAGCTGGTTCTGACTCATAGCAACAATATATAGTTTCCAAGAAGGGCCTGGTGGGTTTGAACCACCAACCTTGAAGGTTAACAGCCTAGTGCTTACCCAACAGCGCCACACCAGGAGTCCAACATCCTTTTATTGACCAGCAATCATGTACCAGATAAAAGGCACATATAAAACAAAACAAAAAACCACATACAACAGAAACTTGGTGCCACCTATAGCTTTAGAGCCCTTTTTTATGTCCCTCAAACACGCTCAAGCTCAGGGCCTTGGCTTTTATACTTCTCTCTACCTAGACGCCACAACTTTCCTATCTATTAGATTATGGTGTCCTGCATGTTGCTGTGTATCTGGAAAGTATGCCACTAGTATGTTAAAAACCAGCAGGATCATCCAAGGTGGCCAAGTCTCGGTAGGGCTTTCAGACTAAGACACACTAGGAAGAAGGACCTGGCATTGTACTTCTTGAAAACCTTACAAGTAGCAGCTGAACATTTCTGATATAGTGTCAGCTCCTCAGGCTGGAAAGCATTAAAAATGACTGGGGAAGACTGCCTCCTCAAAGCCGAGCTGACATGAATGACATGGAGTAAAACTTTCAGGACCTTCATTTACTGATGGGATGCCACTCAAGATGAGAAGTCTACCACACTGGCAAATTGACGAGGAACAGTGTCACATTCATTGTCAAAAAGAACATTTCAAGATTTTTTCAGTGATAGGGTAATATACACACACCTACAAGGAAGAGAAGCTAATATGACTGTTATTCAAATCTATATATCAATCACGAACGCCAAAGGTGAAGAAATGTAAGATTCTTACTAACTTACTGCTGTTGCTGTTAAGTGCCATTGAGACAGTTCCGACTCATAGTGACTCTGTATAGTTTCTGAAGACAGGCTGGTGAGTCTGAACCGCCGGACTTATGGTTCAAGTTAAAGCTGAAGAAAACTAAAACAAGGCCATGAGAGTCAAATTATAGCCTTGAGTGTATTTCACTGAAATTAGAGACCATCTCAAGAACAGATCT